GCCGAGCAAAGGAGACTTGCTCTCGTGACTGCCTTCTCGCAGAACACATTCTTTGACAGCCCATAACCCCTGTACGAATAGTGGGATTCGCTTCTATGACTTCGTAGAACGAAATCCACAAGTAAAGTCCGCATTTTGCTAAATTAATTTAATGTGCTGTCTATGGCTTTAAAAATGTGAACACTTGTTTGAATTCCGTCAGAATTGGGATACGTGGTACTCTCTCTCTCTCTCTCTCTCTCTCTCTCTCTCTCTCTCTCTCTCTCACACACACACACAATTACAAACACATACACACAGAATCCTGACCCCGTCGTTTTATGCAAGAAAAATTATGAAATTATGCAAACTGAGCCTAAAAATGTGAAATTATGCGATTCTGTTAATGTTAACAAATAATGATAAAGGAAAATAATCAGAAATTATGCAAAAAATGATCAAATTTTGCTGAATTATGAAGGTTGCATAAAACCACGGGGACAGAGAATCTAAAACACATAATCTCACCAAGCACAGTCACCGACAATGCACTTGTCGCCCTCAGCACAGGAAAGTACAGATTCTCTGCTATGCACGTGACCTCTAACTGCCCACCAGAGGTCACGGAGATGTCCAGTTCATAAAGATATAGGTCATCAATTTGGAGTATGGATGCCCTTTGACCTTGTGCAAAGTTGTCACCATTGACCTTGACACTGAACAAAGGCTCAGGCGCCATGTCAGATTTAGAGGTGGAACACCGTATGCGAAGAGTGACGTTACTTCCGGTGCAGAGGTTTATGGGGTTGGAGTGTCCAGATATCATTTCAGTTCGAACCGTGGTTGGGCCATCTAAGTAAAATAACAATAAAATAAGTAAACTACATTCTTATTGATCCCTATGGTAAGGTTAGAAATACGCTAACTTTCAGATTACTATACGGATAAATAAGTGCATACAAGAATACATCAAGGTAACTTAATTTACAATATCGCTAGTCTAGCATCTGCGTTTGTGGCTGCGATTTTTGGGCATTTTTTCGCGGCCGCGATTTTTGCATTTTTCAAAAAAGACAAAACAACAAAGCTACTTCATAACATATCAGACATGAGTTTTGATAAGTTTTAAGATGTCCCAGTGTATCTACATCTATTTTCACGCAGAGAATATAAGCACACGTACATTACATTACATACTATTTATATTTCTGTTAGTCTTTTATTTTTCCCTCTCGAGTTTTTGTTGTGTTTTAATTTGTTGGTGTGTTACTTTTTCTAAAAATTGTTCTGATGATTTGTTGTTTTTTTATGTGTGTCTATACAATACAGCGTAATGTCATTTAATTTGATGTTGTTCCTACTCTTTTAAAAATATAAATGTGTTACGTTAGAGCGTGTCTCCACCAAAACCGAATACAGAGTATTGGACAGCATTACCGAAGCAAAAAAAAATAAATCTTGGTGCCTGTTCTTGTCTTATGTTTGTTAATTAACTCTTTATCTCCATATTTTGCTTAACTCATTTCAAAGTTCTCTCCTGTTACCCAGCATTTCACACAGATGAATGGTCTGTAGATATAGATTTATATTCTTTGAGATTTTGCGAGTGAAGACTCCCTTCATGTATATATATACGTCGTCACAGAGAGTTGAAAACTTGAAAATTGAGGACAACTTTTTGGCAACTTTTGCCACTTTTTGTGGCAACTTTTGGCAACTTTTGGACAAAAAATGGCAACAAACGCAGAGGCTAGACTAGTAACTAATAATGACAGTAAACATGCTGGGCCTATTGCTGGACGCCACTGTTCAGCGTCATGTTTTTGAGCTAGGGTTAAGTATTGTGTCTTGCTCAAAGACACACACACAAACACACTCTCACACACACACACAGACAGACACACAGACACACACACACACTCACACACACACACACATACAC